AAGATGGAGAATCGCGTCGGAGTTAAAGGTGGATCGGGAGGGGGTGAAAGTGACAGCAACGTAGAAACGGAATTACGGGATCGGCGCGGTAGGTAGATGGCAGGAGAACGTTTCAATTAGTAATTAAAACGTGCCGTGCAGTAACCCTCACCCTCCCAACCTCCTAGTCGCCGTTTCCCTACCCCTACGCGCCGCGGTACTACGAGGCTCTTGCTCTCTTATACCCAGCGTCGTCGTTGCTACCGCCGCCATCTTGTAAATTAATTAATGCGTTCCTAACGAGATCAGAGGCGTCGGTAAGGTAGGAGAATTGGCTGGTTCTCTACTTTGCCCACTAAGGAACGGGGTGTGAGTTAACTCAAGAGCGTAACTCGCGCCTCGTGTAGCCCCTCTCACCCTCTTTCTCGTGTCAGATGCACACTTCAGGATTTTCAAGCGGCATCCCCCGCGCGCGTGTTCGAACCGTTTAATTTAGAGAGCTGAAAAGAGCTGGGCGGTAATTAAATTCTAGGTCAAGCATTTATTAGCGAAACCTGTGAATAAAAATTTAAATTAGATTCATTTGTCACGAACAACTCTGTTGTTCGAACGTTTTTCTCGTGATTCTTTCGATAAATACATTGAAAACTTGATTTATTTGTTCAACGCTAACATTATAAAAATACATACATTAATAGATATGTAAGTAAACAATTATCGCGGGAAGTATGCACATAGCCACGGTTTTAATTATCACGCCGCGAGATTCCGGCCGAGAGTCTTCTTCACACCGACCTTTCGAAACACGATCCACCCTCTCTTGCAATCCTCACAGCCCTGGGCAAGAGCGAATTAGTCTGTTCCAGAGGGTAGACAGGGTGTTAGCGGAAAGGGATGTTGGTCGGGGGGTCGGTGTCAGAATCTCTCGACCCTTTCAAACCCTTTCATCGGTGCTTCACCCGCTTACATAATGCAGCCACTCTAATTAAAATAAATTACACTCTCGCGCGTCAGTTCCCTCTTTTATCTCTTTCTCTCTTTTTTTCTCTCTCTTTCTCTCTTTCTCTTTTGGTTTCTCTCTCTCCTTCTCTCCCTCTTTGTGTAACCTCCCTCCCCCACTTTCATCTCTCTTTCTCTTTCCTCTCTCTGCTGGCTTTTTTTGCGCTCTCACCCTGTCGCTTTTTTGTACCGCACTTTCGACCACCACCCGGGTAACGCCTCTCTTCTCTGCCGCCCGCTCTTCCCCCCTTGCTCGTTTATTTGCACTTTATTCGAGATTTAATTTACCGACCTCCGGCGACAGCCTCGTTGGTGCGCGCTCGACTCTGTGATGGGATTAAAAAGGCGGGTAGGGGATGATAGGATGGAAGAGGCTAGGCGCGGGCGAGAGAGCGGGATGTGAGAGGGTGGCGTAAAAGTTGGAAAAAGAGTAACGCGACCGCGAGCTCCGCGACCAATGGAGAACGAACTGCCGGAAAATGGCTGAACCAAGGAAAAAGCGAGAAAGTGGTATGAGAGAGAGAGAGAGAGAGAGAGAGAGAGAGAGAGAAAGAGAGTGCGGGGAGAACGAACAATCGATATCGTGGCGTCTCGATTCGCGGCCGATTTTTAACTACCAGCTCCTGGAGAGCAGCGACCGTCTATCCTATAATCGCCGCGACGATCGTTGAGTCCGCGCCGGGAGCTTATGCACACTGCGAAATCGATTTCGATTAAACGTTTAAAAATTGCAACTGTTGTGGTGATACCACAGCGTCGCCCAGTGCGGCAATGCCGAACTATGAGGTACAATTTTCCTCTCCGACACGACATTTGATTATACGCTTAACGTTCGACAAAAATTCTATTAGTTTCCAGTAGCAATCTCCGTGTCATTCGGAAATTGATAAGTGGTAAAAATATGAAACACAATATCTGGCTGTGGAAAATCGCGGTAAGGGAGAGGGAGAGATGGTAAATCACCGCGTTTCACGAGTATTTCTTTTCGTTGTTATTGAAATTACCAGCTCTCTCTCTCTCTCTCTCGTCGCAACAATCTAATCACCGCGAGCCGTCCGAAATGAGGCATGAACGTCGCGCGCGATTTAATTAAGTCGTCCCGTGCTTATTGAGCATGTCTCGCTGGAAAAAAAAAAAAAAAAACCGAGGGTAATAACTTTGAAGTCCTCTCTTTTCTCGCCCAGCGCGAGAAACGCGAACGATAGCAATAAATAAATATTCCACGGTCGTCCGCGGGTTTTTTTTCCTTTCTTTTTTTTTTTTTTTTATCTCCCTTCTTCTCGCCGATCTTCATTTTTATACCGCAAGGGGAGAGCAGCCGCTTCAACTGTGTTTTATGAATTCGTTATGAGTCGACGCCTCTCTCCGCGGCGAGAGGGATGACGCGCGGAGAGAAAAGAGTGTCGAGAGTAGCTCGCGTAGACGCCGGGCTTCTTTTTCTTTTTCCCGACCTTCCGCGACGACGTCGACGACGTCGATAACGTCGACCTGTAGGCGTCGAGGCTTCTTTTCCGCGTTCTCGAGCAAAACTCGAAGTGTGTGTCTGTGTGTGTTTCCGCGAAAAACGCACAGAGGAAATATTTCCTCGGGTCCCGAGAATCCCGAAAGCGCGTAGAAGCCGCACGTGATAAAGAGAGAGAGAGAGAGATAGAGAAAGCGGGTGGAGGAAGCGAAAAGTTTCAAAGAATGAAAGAAGAGGACTTTAAGGGAGGGTGCGCGAATAATAACGACTCGGATTCTCTCTGACTGTCGTCGGTTTTCGATTTGAGACGCCTCCTTGCTTCTCTCCTCGCTTCTTGCCATTCCGTGTGTATATAGATATGTATATATCTTTCTTCCGCTTCTCTCTCTCTCTCTCTCTCTTTCTCTCTTTGTTTTCTTTCTTTTCTTCTTTCACGCCAGTTTGCCCCTTTTTCGCAACCGTTTCTTCCTCATCGATCCAATCAGCAGATCGGATTGCATGAAGGAGACGAGAGAAAGAAAGAGAGGAGGAACATGAAAATGCAGTTGGGTAACGAGCCGCCGAGCGGAATAGAAGTTTTATCGTGCAGCCTGTTCTCTCTCCCCGCACACTGACTGCGGAGTGAGAGAGGAGGTATAAATTCAAAGTGACGCGAGAAAGCGGATCGATGGAAACGTAATTCTTCGCTCCTCGGAACTCGGTAAGTACGGCGTCAATTTGTTCGATGGCTCGGAACTCCCTTTTCCGTTAAAAAGAAGACGATAGACGCCTTCACGCCGAGATCGGACTGTCGATCAATATACGGTATATACACAATGAAACGTCTTGACGGAATAAAGAACGCAGAGCTTTGAAATGGGAGAAGGAAAGGCGGGGTGGTAGTTGTAGTTCTTCAAAAGTTATTGCCGTTTAAATTATTAACGCGTTGAGTGAAAAAAAAAAAAAATTTCCCGAAAGAAGATTAATGAGGCGTGAGCGGGATCGATCGTTCGTAAGTGAAGTGAATGAAGATACAGGAAGAGAGCCGGAGCAAACCCCCATGTAATAAGGTAAGTAAAAGGACTTACTTGCTCGACGATCAGTAATATCACACGACGTCGGGGCGAGTAACCCCATTAGCATTCATATTTCAATTTCACAGCCCTCAGGGTCGCAGTTTGAAACTGCGGAAGGTACTCGGGGCGGCGAACAGGGGGAGATAAACGGAAGAGAATTCACAGGGAAGAGCCGGAGGGGTAGAAGAGCCACGGTCAGAAGGGGGAGAGAGCAAGAGTGAGAGAGAGAGAGAGAGAGAGAGAAGTGGGGGATGAGCGAAAGAGGAGAGCTAATATCGATGGCAACCTATTACCATCTATCTCCATACCGATGTAATGGACGCGCAGCCCCGATTATCAATCCGTAATAATTGTGCATATTAAACGGGCGCTAATTATCGGGCTGGCAGCGTGCCGCGGGCGCCATCGCCAATCGAACCGAGTTACAACTCGGCGGTCTGTTCGCTCGCTCATTCGTTCGCTTCCTCGCTCGCCTCTACCCGCAGTAAATTTTACCGCCGGCCGCCGAAAGGGGATCAATAACCAAAAAATCGTCGCGCTCACCCGCCCGGGCGCGAAAATATTCGCGAAATCAAATATCAAACGGTGTTTCTCGCGATTCCCACCGAGTGGTTCGTGCGAATTTTTCAACGAGAGAGCGCGAAAGCTTAATCGCCCATTCGTTCTCGCCGCATCGCATCGGTTAATGCGGAAACGCTGTTACGACGCTCGGCACCGTTTAATCGACGCCCGAGCTAACTACGTTCATCGATATTCATCGATACCGGAACAAAAAAAAAAGAAGTGGACGGAGAGGGAGGAGAAGGAGAAAGAGAGGGACTCTTTCGATGCGCGATCGATCGATCGACGGAACGATTTCGCCAGGACACTCGAGAGACCTGGGGAGGCGCGGCGGAGAGCGCGAACGTCGGTGCCCTCGAGTCCTCTCGAGGCTTTTTTCCTCTCCGGAGCGCTTTTAATAAACGCGCGCGCCGCAACCAGCGGACGCTTTACGTTATTGAAGAAGGAGAGAGAAATGCAGAGATACAGAGAGGGAGAGAGCGAGAGGGAGAAAGAGAAAACTGGCCGGGGGTTGGTCGATGAAAGCGGAAGGGAGTGCTTTTGACGACGAGCTTTTTACGGCCCTGTGTTCCGGTGTTCAGGCTTTTACGTCCATTCCGCGTTTCCTCCTCCTTCGTCGCCATCTCCGCCTTCCATCCACATACACTCACTCTCGGGATATGCTCTTCCTCTCTTATTCTCTGCGCTGTGTCGCGCGTATCGCGTTAATTCCCTCTTTCGCTCTCGCCGTTTCCGTCCACCTCCGCTATCATCCAATAATACATAGCGCGTTTCAAAAGCGCGTCCGTCTAATATCCTTTATGAGGTGAAATTTTACGCGCCCGCTGGGTACAGCCGACGAAACACATATACACACAAACACGACTGCTCTTTATTATTCCTCTTATTTGTATTGATGTAAATATCGAGGAATTAGCCGATGTTTAAATGCAATATGTACTCACATGCCTCTCCTCCGCTGGATTGAGACCTGCAACAAAGATTAAATAACAATATTACGTGAGTTATATGCGTGTAAAAGTAATAATAAATTTATATCGTTAAAATCGCGAATGACACGTGTTTTGTTGCGCAACGAGGAATGAGAGAGAGAGAGAGAGAAAGAGAGAGAGAGAGAGAGAGAAAGAGAGAAAAAGAAAAAGGGCGATTTTATTCGGAAGAAGAGGTTCATGTTTCAAACGTCATCCCTCCAACGGGATCCGTATCTCTCCGGTAAAACGAGCGATATGAATGTTTTTCATTATTATTACAGCGTCGAAGCGAATAAAATCGGCGGTATGTCGACGGAATCTTTTTCCACGGCTAGGAGAAAACGAGGTGGAACGAGGGAAGAAGGAACGCGCGCGCGCGCGAAAGAGGGAAAGAGAGAGAGAGAGACTAGCTAGACTTCTCAAGGATTTCCGAGACGACGAAAGGAGGAGGAGGGCAAACGAGAAAAAGAAAAGCCGGCTGGAACAGGGAGTGGAGAAAATCCAGACGGAAAAGCTTTGTCCTCAAGAAGCCGAGTTCATAGTTTGCTCTCGCTCGATTTCCCTAGTCTTTCTTCCTCCTCTCTCCTTCTCGAGCCCCTCGGTACACTTCGGGGTCTCGTAGGAAATATCTTAACGATATCTTTTTCCTCTTTCTCTCCCGTCCCGCCGCAAAGAAGTAAGAATTACACGAACCGTTTATGTTCCGCGCGCACCGCGGGGGTCGCTCGTCGTAAATTGCCTCTCTTTTCTCTCGCGGCATTAAGCGCATCGCGGAAATAAAATAATTTTTTTTTTTTTTTATTGACGCACGTCGCGTGATCCCCGCGACATTTCTGAAAATAAGTCGCGCGATATAAAACGCGACTATTTTCATCGCTCGATGAAACCTTAATTCGTGCTCTCGAAGTATCGTCGGCTATGTTCTCTCGCATTATCCCAAACGAGAGCGCTATTACAGTCTTTATGCCCCATCAAGTGATGAAAATGATAGTCGAGCGAAGCGGCACTGGGTCGGAAGAATGTTCTCGCGCGAATCGTGCGTTATCCGCGATAACTTCGTAACGTAAATTCCGCGAAAAAGAGTCGACGAGAGTCGATTGTTTTAGAGGATTAAGTCCCTGATACACGACCGCGTTGAGTTATTGAGTAGACACGTGCAAAACGGAGCAGCCTCGAAAGAGAGAGAGAGAGAGGAGAACAAGAGCGAGACGTGGCCACCTCTTCGATGTCGGTGTAGATTTCGCTAATGCCCGTCATCCCTCTTTTATCCTTCCTGCTATCCGACAAGAAAACTCTTTCCTCCTTCACTCGACTGTTCCTGCTCGTCGTAAACGGACGCGGAAAAGCGCGCATAATTTTCTACTAAAAGCGCAAAGAGGTCGTCCGAGAGTATTTTCCGAGAGACCGTTTTAAGAACTCCGCGCGCGTGCTTACATTCCTACTTGCCCATTTTGAAACGGCGAGCTCGTAAAAAAAAAAAAAAAAAAAATACACAAAAGACACAGCTTGCTCGTTATTTAGAAAATTATCGGACGAAAAGAGTGACTTGCTATCGAGATCACATAGAAATTACTCGAGAAAAATGTTGTTGGCAAGTTTTTGTTCTGGCGGAAAAGCGAGAAGAAATCGTTACATCGCGGCTTATCCGATGGCAAACATTGCGGTGAATACCGTCCGAAGAAGATGAAGTCGTTTTCAAGACGCGAAAAACCACCACGTAGAGAAGGGGGGAATAGAACAACAGAAGAGAAACTGCGGAAACGACAACGGAACGGATAACAGGGCGCCGTGTTGCGCCGCTAGTAGAAACAAAATTCGCTCTGGGCAATGTTCCGGAAAGAAGGGAAGAAGTTTCAGTTGTCACAACACAGAAAGAGACCTGGCTGGGGATGACACGTCCCTCTTGGTTCGCACGGGAATAACGTTTCAAAAGAGCCAGTCCGCGATCATTGACAACACACACGGTCTAGCTTTGCAGATCTGTTCTTTTCGACTGCGCTTTTTCACGCTTTATGCGCTCCAAGCGAAGCGAGCACACATTTTCGCGTTTCGTCGAGAAAAATAAGAGAGGGAGAGAGAGAGAGAGAGAGAGAAACCAGAAAGCACAATATCCACCAGTTACAGAAAGTGCAATATAGTTAGGAATAACATATGTTACGCGATCGAATATTTGTACTGTAAACACGAAACAATTCGGGCAAATGAAATTTCCGATACATAGGCACTGTGGATGCTTCCGAGAGAGAGAGAGAGAGAGAGAGAAGCGCGATTGCGCCAAGATCGAACGGATATTTCATTAGAACGCGCCCGACAACGACGACGATCGGAAAACGCAAAACAACGCGGAGCAAACTGGCCGGGGGCTGTTATATATCCGGGACTTGGTAACACGGTTAGATGAGAGCACCACGAGCCGGGGAAGAGGATATAGGCAGGGTCAGGAGTAGAGGCCATCGGGGAATAGAGACAGCGAGTAAGGGCGGCGAGCGTGGAGGGCGGGTGGAAAGGGAGAAGGGGGAAAGGGTTGTAGAAGTACACTCGTGTCGAGAGGAGATTCTGAGTGCTCTCTCGAGAGACGGTCGTGGATGGAACGAGAGACACGCCGAGCGAGAGACATCGGACGAGAGAAGCTGGCGCGAGAATAAGATAAGAGAAACGAGGCGAGAGAGGAGAGGAGAAGAGAGTCTGGAGCACCGCGTGCGTCTTCGTCAGCGCTACGTGGGGGGTCACCCTCTCTCCCTTTCCTCCGCCCAATAGCACGAAGGTCTTGCGTGACATGCCGAACGAGAAAGACGGACGAGAAAGAGGAGATAAAAGAGAGCGAGAGAGAGGACGAGGACTAAAACTCGAGAGGATTCTCGAGGTCAAGATCGAGAGTTTCAGGAGCTTCTCTCGGGCTTAAGCACGGTCGTTTGCGTCACCGGCTTCGTTCGTTCCAGACCGCGCTTAAAATAGCACCAAGAGGCGCTTAATTTCAGTAACTCACTGATCGTACTCTCCAAATAATCTCTCTTTCTCATTCTCTCCTGATAAAACACTCCCGCCAAAAGGTTTCTGTGTGTCCATTAGACCGACGAGTTTCGATGGATTATAATCGTGTTTGTATTACGTTCGTCATCGTACGCGCGTACATATCTCGCTGAATCATTGATGAGATTACGAGCACACAACGCGCAAAACGTATATATCGTCTCATGAGGATCGGTTTCCGGGCTTATTCTCACAGAAGCCGAGATAAGCGATTGAACAGGTAGCCCTGAGTTACGCGAAGCATGAGACGTATATAGCTGAGCGCGCGCGGTCGTTCCACGAACGAGAGACGGTTAAACCGACCGTTCGGCGCGCGAAATATTTACGAGCGGGAGAAGTGCGCGCGATAAACACACTCTCGGACAGTCGAGATATTGAGTCCGCCGCTATATAGAGTTCCACGAATCGCGTGTTCTCTATTATAAGACAGCTGACGAGAGATTCGCGCGTATCGAGCGATATTGCGCGTTGTGAAAACACTCGTCGACTGAAAATATAGCGATCATGTCAGCGGTGCTTGTCTTTTCATTGGCGACCTTGATGATATGTCTGTCATCGATGATGACCGGCCCCACCAAATGTTCAAAAAACATATTTTTGCAACAAATACAAACACGAAGAAAAATTTTTAATAACTCATATGTAAAATACAAAATGCGCTATTCAACAATTTAATATTTTTTTGTTTTATTATAATGCGCGCATATGATATTTGTAATAATAAAAATTCCACCGCGACTTCCACATGATAAAAACTTCGCTGGGCAGTCCAACGCGTGTCGAGAACATCTTTAACAAAAAACAACTCGAATCGGATAGAAAAAAGCATTCATGCGGACTTACCACCGTTGGGTTTGAGATCGTCAGGCTGACCGCGATGAAGGTCCGGTTTCGTGAGCATTGACAGTGGATGAGCGGCTGTGCCACCGGGGGTGGCGGTCGCTCCCGGTGGCAAACCCAAGCCAAGGAGCGCGGACGCCGAGGTGGGGACCGGTATACCCGCACCCGGACCCAGTCCAGGCAGTCCGGGTATGCCCGGATGTGGTCCCATTGCCGCGCCTGGTGGTAATTGCTGGGCGTGCATCTGCTGTAGAATCCTCGGCAGATCGGGCCTTTGCTGCTGTAAAAATGCAACGCACAAAATATATGTCATCAATAATATCAGTAACATTGTTTGCGCGATAACGCGACCCACGATCGTTATCGAGATATCGCTATCGCGCCGCTGCGTTCGCTCAGTTCATGTGAAGCATCGCGCGGAATTAGATTACGTGTTTCCACGTACGCGATATGTATATTTTATAGATAATATATGTATGTGAGTATATATATAATATAATATATATGAGTGTGTGTATATACACACGTGTATGTATAAACCGATAGAATATGCTGACACGAACGTATCTGCAGGATCTCAATAAGTTCTGAAGATTAGATTAAGTAAGTGGCGAGGCAATTAACGAGCTCGAGTGCGCGTAACGGAGCCTCTCGAGTATTTCCGCCGTAATTACCAGATAAAAGCGAGCGGGTATTATTCCGCGAGACGTGAAAAAACGCGATGTGCGGGGGAATCGAAGCGATCATCGCTAAAAGCGCGCGGCAGATTGGAATTGAACGGTATTGGGGCGCGCGGGGACGCGCGAGGAAGAGGAGAAAACTTTAATAGCGCGTCGATATTATCGCGGTAGCCGCAATAGATGTGCCGCGCGCGGCGAGCGAGAACGAGAGAGAAAGGGCGAAAAAGAGAGATCCGCATCCGATATAGAAGTTCGGAAATGATTTTTACGGGCTATCGGTTTAGCGCGCGGCGGTGTGCGGTGTGTACGCTGCCGCAGCTTCGTTAGGAGAGTCTGTTTGCCGAACGTGAACTCACGTTTCCAGCGCGGACAAATGCATAAGCAAATAAAATCGCGCTTGCTCGCGCGCGGATTTAAAAGCACGGCACGGCGCGCCTCTCTCTCTCTCTCTCTCTCTCCCTTTTTCTCTTTGTTCCACACTCTCGGGCTCTCTTTTTACCCATCATAATTGATCAAACAATTTCGTTCCCGCGAGAGGAGACAGGGAAACAGCGAGAGAGCGAAAAAAAGCAACGCAACGATAATTCGTTGGAAAAATCGCTCCGCTTAATTCCGGTCACGATCGCGCGTTTTTCCCTGCTTCTTCCCTTTCTCTCTCTCTCTCTCTCTCTCTCTTCCCCTCTTTGTGAATTCTCTCTTCTCTGCGCGCGCTAGCCCCTGCGCGCCACCGCCGTCGCCGCCGCCAGCCGCTGCCGCCGTTACGCGAAAATACACTTCGTTACAGTCAACGGAGGCAACTTTCCATTAGCAAAGCATACAAATTGCCGAGTAAACTCCAAGGCAAGTTTGAGTAACCTCCGCGTCCGACCTCGCTCGAGTAAATCTAAGGCTGCGAAACAAGTGGAAAGAGTTATATATGCGAGCGAGTGAGCGAGCGAAAAGTTTCGCGGAAATCTTAAGCGTATCTCGCCCCGTAGTTTCCTCGTTAGTTGGACCAAGCCGCCAGACAAATTGTGAACCTGTTCAGCGCCGTTTTAACGGTTCGTGGATCACGCTAGGAGGCGAGGCGAGGTGAGAGATGAGAGAAGAGGGTGTAAGGAGGGCGCGCTCTGCTGCGAGAAGAGGATACCGCGCGCGCGTTCGCACAGGCGGCGAGAGCGGAAGAAGAGGGTGAGTGTACTACACCCACACCCGCTGCCTGTAACCATGTACACTCGTTAAGGCAGGCCGGAGCGAATATTCCGGGGAGTAGTTTGCCGAGATAATTAAATGGCTTAACGATATAATAACCTCGCGTCGAGCGTCGACTGTCTGAACAGAGCCACCCGCAAAACATACAAACAGAGGAACGTATATATAAACGTGTGCCGCGCCACGCTGTGTGTCTATGTAGAGAGAGAGAGAGAGAGAGAGAGAGAGAGATTCAAGTCTTCTGAGAGAAAGAGGGATAGAGATGGAAAGAGAGTGAGAATGAAAGAGAGAGAGAGAGAGAGAGAGACTGAATAAGACGAGAGAAAGACAAGAGACGGTCCTACGGTTCACAAAGCCATCTGCGAAATGTTGCCGGAGATTCGAGGAAGTCGGAAGCCCCTAGGAAACGTTTCCGAGTTTCCACTCTTGATAGCGATAATAATCCTGACCCGGAGCTGCTATCCTCACGGATTCAACTTCCACGCGATGTTACCCTCTTATCCGAGTCAGGAAACCACCCTCTCGTCTCTCGCGCCGAGATTCCTCGTAATATTACCGTAGAAATGCGAACAACGAGAAACGGCGGCGCGGCTTTGACTCGCGACGCGGACCAATTATACGAGCGGAGGTGGCTCGAAGGTGCGAATTTCGTTCTTCGAGCTCGCGCTAACAAGCGAACAAGCATCGCGTTAGAAAGAATTAAACGCACACACACGACTTATTTCTGCTCATTATTATTATTATTATTTTTTTTTTTTTTTTTTAATTCATGTGTTCTGCTGATTGAACTCGAGAAAGACCTCGCGAAACCGGAAGTGTCAGATTTCTATACAATTTAAAAACGCCGTGATTGCGCGTCGCTTTTATTTCCAGATACGATGTCGCTGCGTCTTAATCTTCGTGCGAACGTCCTTCTCTCGTGGCACCTGCATCGGCAGCACCCCGTTCTCAGCAGTTTTCATCGTCATCGTCGTCGTCGCCGACGCCACTTGCTGACTCGACTAGACGTGCAGTTACAGTCGAGGATCTGAAGGAGAGGGATCGTCTTAACCTTCTTATATTGCGTATCGTTGACACTTGGTAAGCGTCTTTAGCGACGAGGGAGACGCCGCAAGAAGATTCACAGGTGCATTTGTGTGTGTGTGTGTGTGTGAGCGCGTCGCAAAAAAAGTGTCACGTGCCGCAAAACTTATTTTGCAGTATAAAACCGGAGAAGTAAATTCGAGCATTCCTCCTTCAATTACACCCGATCCTGTTGCATCCATCGGTCTGTCAAATATTGCAACATGTATCCGAGCTTTAACCGCATTGCTCAGGTGTATCTATATACAGGATAGAGACACCTAACTTGTGTACATCTTTGGGTCAATAAATAGTGGCGATACATTTTTACGCAGAATCAAACATACTTTCTATATGTCACATAAAAAATATGATATTTTATTTTTTAAATCACGAAGTTGACCTTTGAAACGTCTTCACTTATAAAAAAAAAAACGTATACACATTAATGTAACAACCTCCTTGAAATCGTGTAACTACTATACTATACTTTTTTTTTTATATAATACTTTTCCACGTAGAACCGTATAATTTACAAGTTTTCAAAGTGTGTAAGTTAGGTTGCCTCTACATATGTTGTTAGATCGTATTCGTGATTTAAGTTCTTTAGAGTCGCGATGTCTATTCGCTAGCGTGTCCAAAGACTTAAAATAAAAGTTTATGGTAACAATTTTCGAATAGCTGTTATAAAAGAGCAGTTTCTCCGAGAAGAAGGAGGAAGAAGGAGGAGAAAGAAAACTATCTAACATCGTGGAGATATAGTTGTGACGCGAAATAACTCGCGAAACGATTTTCCTCGACTTATCTATTCACGGTAAAACTACCCGCGTGTACGAGTGGCGATTTCGATCCATCTTCCAGCGTAGCTGACGGGATTTAAGAGAAGAGAGAGCGCGCAGACCGGGGGAGCGGGCGCGGTACCCTCGGAATCCTGCTAAGGATTTGCCGCACGTATTCCCGACAGCGTCGTGGATCCGCGGAGAAGTTTCTCCGTGAGCCGCGCCGGGCGGGGGTCGGAAACCCAGGGGTGGCTGGAATGCTGATTAGTCGGCGCTCGTGCACACAGTAACACTATAACCTACCCTCGGCAGCTTGGGAAACCGGACGAGAAGATCGGGATAAGATTCAGACGGAGAGAGAGAGAGAGAGAGAGAGAAAGACGGCTATACAGACAGCGAGGGAAGATGCGGCGGTGGATAAGGGTGAAGAGCGAGAGATCGGAGTCAAGGAGGGAGGAAAGGAGGTGGAGAAACCGGTGGCTTAATAGGGAGGAAATTGAGTGCTCGAGCAATATTGAGGAGGATTCGGGATTCGCCAGGATCGTATCCGTCCCGTCCGCTTTTGGATTCCTCGGACGTGCATCGGCTTCCAGCGTGGTCTGTATCCTTCCCCTCTCCCTCCTTGCCGCAAGGGTTCTCCCCGCTCGTCGCGAATGCTTTTCACGTTGAAATACACGCGGAATCGAAATCCTCCTCCCTCCCCCCCCCTTCGTCCGCCACGCCGGCGCGATTCGGCCAAAGGTATGTCGTAAACGCCGTGATTCGATACCGACGGCGAAAGCTCCTTTGTCTTTTGTAACGGACGATATCATTGATGTGCACTTACCCCGATGATAGCGTTCAGCTCGGTCATGGTCACTTGTTTTGCTCTGTCGACTGCCGAGGCGACCTGCTGTTGATGCTCTTGCGAGAGAAACGGTAGGATTTGTGCGATAATAGCGTTCAACCTCTTCGCTATCTCCGTCTGCAAACAAATTCATAATTGTGGTTAATATCGCGAATTATTATTAAAAAAAAAATCTTATTTCTTAAAACTTGCGCGTCAATTATGTATTACGCATCTTTCTCTTTGCTCCATTAGATTGTTCAGTGTAACAGAAAATAACGCAAGAAGTAACAAAAAAAAAAAAAAAGCGGTAAAGAGAACACTTTCGTGAATATCCAGAGTTTTTCTATTTTTTTTTCGACAAGCTTCACAGTGCAATGAAAAATGTGTTCGATCTGTTACGACCTAGACGAGCCGTCTGAGCAGCTTGTTCCGGGTCGTTAAGAAAGGTATGGGCCAGCTTAACGCGCCCTCGCCAAGGAAACGAGTAAAGATGCAGGTGCGGCATAACCGACCGAGGGTGTTTACGACGCCCTCCGGCTGAAAGAGACTGCCGGGAATTAAATTAAATCCAGGCAAGATTGCCCCAGTGGCGTAGGCATCGCGTTAAACCGGCGCGTATTACATTTCGTGGAGAATCACGAATATCGTATATATTCACAAATACACGACTGAGAGAGAATTTTGGCTTTATCTTCGTGTTTGATTTATCTGACGAATAGAACCAATATAATTCTGGCCGCTCGAACAATCGCTTCGAACGAGGTAGACGGTCTGATTTTTGATTCTCACTTCAAGAGTTCTGGCTTTTTTTTTTTTTCTATAACAAAGTTAATTTTAGAGCACGAGCGTAATTCGGTATATTCGATAACCCATCTCGGCGCATTATCTGGGTACAATGTTCTGATTTGCTTCTCCGATTTACCATAAATTTTACTATACCCGTGCGTGGAAAAGTACTATTATGTAATCGCACACCGGATCCGTGCGCGCGCGCATGCTATATAAGCCGGATAACTCGGTATAATAATTCGCACGGCGCGCACAACATCACAGCACGGAACTCCATTTAATTATCGCGGAATCAACAGGCGGCGCAACGGAGAAGCAGGAGCGCGCAACATTTTCGACGCTTTCGTCGAGAAAATGAAATCACTTAATTGCTTCGACAAAGCGGCACCTCCGGGCGCTCGTTTCCCTTCGTCGCGTCGCGTCGCAGAATTTAGCGCGCGCGCGCGCGCGAGAGAGAGAGAGAGAGAGAGCGTGAAAATCCCGTCGATTCGCCGTGACATAAAAAAACAAACCACCGATTTGTACGCGCTCCGTTTAACCTCTCCCCAGCCAATGATTCATGAGAACGTCTCGAAAAAGTGGTGAGCCCGACGAGTTTCGCGGCTGATATATAAGCTTCCGTCAACGCCGCGTTTTCTCGCTCGCCGCTTTAAACGAGCCTCGGATGCTAATTGAAATATCGCCAGGCCACTGAAATTCTTGGCAAGTTTCCCTCCCTCGAGCACATCTCGGCGAACGAGCGGATAAAGAGAAAGAGGAAAGAGAGAAGAAGAGTGGACGGAGGGGAGAGAGGGAGGAGCTTATTTTAATTACTCGTCGCGCCCTCCAAGTGCCGGTTATTAAGCCGCTAATTATAACGTACGAGAAAACACAAGTCGTGCTATTCGTGAGACGTGTTATGCAAAAACGCATATAACTTCGCGGAATATCGAGCTTTGAAACAGCGTTTTTTCTGTGTCAAAAAATATCAAGTAATAAAAAAAAAAAAAAAAACCACTTTATTTACTTACGCGAGCTTTCAAGCAAATTAAAACACATTTTGTTCAAATATTCACTTTAATATTTGTTGAATAAAAGTGTCGTGCAATTTTAGTTTTCTTTGCTGCGAAACATTACGATATTGACGCTCTAAATTTGTAATAAAGTTGATGACATTTAAACATCTTACCTAGAGCTCATCTTATCGCGGTGTAGTCGAGCTATTCGTATCTAAGGATAATACGCGGAATGTGTTTTGTAACATGCGGTAAAGTTCCGTCTACTCGGTACACTATACGGCACTTTGCGGCAGTAACCAGAATTAGAAGATTTCGAGCGAGCGGTAGAGGACAGACATACAGAGAGAGAGAGAGAAAGAGGAAGGAAACGAGAGAGGACATTGTGGGCGAGAAATGGTGGCGGTTACAGGGAGGAAGGCACGACGACGACGACGAGGGTGGAGCCCGTTGCAGACGTAATTGCGTTGCCAAGAAGTTTTCCCCGGGTGAGAGGTAACCAAGAAAATAATGAATGGCCCCGGATGCTCCATTACTATTCTCTCTCCCTTCCTCTCTCGCTCACGCGAAAGAGAGAAAGACAGACAGAGAAGAAGAGAATGGAAGACAGAAGAATGGCAAAAGCAGAGAAATGAGAAACCAAGTTTTGGTCGCGGTGTTCTCGCTGTCCTGGATTTTGCGCGGGAGAACGAGATGAAAAAAATCTAGGTGTGGTGTCCGGAGAGAGAATGAATTTTTCTCTCCCGTGTGCCAAATTGGGAACCGACGAAGATCGCCGCGCGTTCCCAGAGCCGCGCGGTTCCTCGCGCAAATAAGCTTTTTTTTTCTCTATGTAATGGGCACTCGCACGACGGCGTATATTCGCTATCGGAACACTCGGAGCATACACGGTGATTTCAGCACGAATCCAGAGTTAATCGCGATGTCGTGCTCTTTGCACACACACCGGGGAAAGGTTACGGCAAACTTCCGGAATCTTGGCGAGCGAGAGCGCGATATTTCCTTTTTCCACATCTGCGTTCTTTCCTGCCATTACGAGGGGGAAAATTGTATGTACGTGCCCGCGAACGGAAGACACAGATGCTCCCGTAATATCGCGAAAACCGCAAGGAGCTCTCGCGAAGTGCCGCATTTCCTCTTTCCGCTTACGTACAGCCACACACGAGGCGCCGCACGCACGCACACACACACACACACACATCGTGATCGTGTCGCGCATGCACACACGCGTGCATCTCGCAGAGAATCAGGCACTCTGCCCGAGACGTTGTCCTTCCTCTTTCTTTCTTTCTTTCTCTCTCTCTCTCTCTTTCTTTCCCATACATATAAATAAACACTATAGCACGCGCACGTCTAAAAGCAGGCAGCAACATTCGCGGCATGAAAATGCAAAGCGTCGGGGCTTCGAGTGCCGTCGATAAAATTCCTCGCCTGTAAAACGGTGACGTGAGCCGAATGTGCTCTTTCACCACCCTGGGTCCTCCTTCGATACTGCCTCGATAATCCGATACGCGAAGCTGCTTCGCGAGAAGAGAAGCGAGGGAGACGCGCGCCGGCTTCCCTGCGAATCAAGCTTACGGCAAGCTTATACAATGCACCAAATAATACATTGGAAGAAGATGCGACTTCTTATTTATTATCGCACGTCACGTCTCTTACACACACACACACACATATTCCTCCGACCAACCTCATATAACGTTAAAAAATGTTTAATCGAAGGTTTTTCTTTTTTTCTGAGTAATACGGAAAGACGAGAAAATTAACCAAGAGAGAGAAAAAAAGAAAGAGAAAAAGAGAGAGAGAGAGAGGAAAGACTGAGAGAGTTTGCGGCAACAAAGCCACGCTCGCCGCCAACCTCTGCCGACCGAACCGGAAGCCGTTACTTGCGCTAACGAGTAAACCAACGGCTGCTCGTCGGACTTTGGTGGTATTATGCTGCGCGAGCAAATAAACTGGCGTGTTCGGCTAACTCCCTGGTTTCTGGTAAGCCCCCGCACACCACCGACGGTGGTTCTCGCTCGTCCTGCTCGCTCGCACTCCGGAGGGAAGAAGGGAGGGAGGGAGGAGGGCCGAGTAAAGCCCGGCTAACGTCCGCGTGATTGCAATATCCCGCGGCTTGCGGAGAGAAGCACCGGATGTAGCCGTGTGTACGCGCGCGCATCTGTGTACACACGCTGGACCACCGTGCGCGAGAACGGATAGGTGGATTAGAGAAGAGAGAGAGACAGACAGAAGAGATAGAGAGAGAGACAGAGACAGAAACAGAGTGGTCGCTAAGGCGCGCACGACGAGCCCCGAAAGCTCATTGTCTGCCGTTGGGTTGTGCCGTTGTACCGTAAGTTAGATTAAATCAATTTTCTGTCCCGCGACGCGCGTTAGCTAATTTTCGTCGCGCTATGAAACAGTACATTCGCGACGTCCGCGCACAACGTGGCTCTTCTCTTCCTCGCCGCGTGTCTTTCTCCGGTGAAAAAGAATCGATAATGCGCGCCGTGTCTTTTGTTCTATCTATTGCGCGCATCGGTATTGTCGACAGCGGGGTGCACGACGCTTGACAAATAGGTCAAACGCTGTAACAGCAGAAATTCGATACGGAGAGAAACGTGAGAGAGAAAGGAAAAGAATGTCTCGTCGCTTTATCTGTAATATCGTATATACGATCGCTCTTTGAAAAAAAAATAAAAATAAAACAAAAAAAAACAAAACAAAAACATTTAAAACCGTTTCGAGATCGATTAGATTAGATGAAATGCGCATCGCGGTGTTCGCGCGCGCGCGCGCGCGAGAGAGAGACAGACAGAGAGAGAGAGGAAAAATAGGTTCGTTGCTTTTGTTTCCAGTATAGCGAAACGCGTTGTATCGCGCGTGACGAATAACGCGTGCACCAGATTTATTCGGGAGATGAGCAACGCGCGAGCGAACACCCAGAGCGAAACGCGTCGCGGAACGACCGCAAGCCGGGCAGCGGCAACACCTGAAATTGCTCGTATAAATATTGAAGCTCGCCATTTTCATCCGGTTAATTTTCCGCGGTGAACGCGCCTGGGAGACCGCGATGAAATTTTATGCGTGTCTCTCTCGACGTCGCCGCGACACGAATGCACGAGCATGTCCGTCATTTCGTTCACTAACAAAAAAAAACAGAAACAGAGAGAGAGAGAGAGAGAGCGCAAAATGGCCGACTCGTCGGCTCGAATAACTCGAATCGCCGTTAAACGGGTTATCGGGAACGAACGAATCGATGATACGAATGACGATGATACACGAAACATACTGGTTGGCCAGTTTGTATCGGTGATTGTCGCACCACCACGGGGTGAAGGACAATTGCCTCGTCGCGATTTTCTG